GCAAATGATGATGAAACATTACATTTTACGCTAACTATTCCTTTCATGCTGATGAAGTACAGGATGTTATAATATTTGTTCATCACCACTCTATTGTTTTAAGTCTCCAAGATTATAAATAGTTTTAACATCAGTTTCTCAGCAGCTTTTCTGACTCACAGAAACAAAGGCTGTTCTTATCAGCCGTATTCATTCTTATGAGTACATAGATAACGTGTTAGCATTGACCCAAAAACTTTACGTTGAGAAACCAAGAGAGCTTTCATGATCTGGCACTGTGTTTTCTTCCTCGTGAAAATAAGGGAACTGCTGTGGGTGACCGAGTTTGGTTTTGAGTCTTCAGAAAACAGGTATTCCCCAGAGAAAATCCCTGAGACGGGTGTTTGTTTACAAGCGCTAACAGGGCTAATGCCTCCTGAGTGATTCAAATGTCTGATGTGATATGTCTTCTTTGATTGAGTACAAATAGAGCCCTATTCAACAGAACCTCTTAAGCACTGAGACAAGAGTGACTTTTAGACCTCCGCGAATTGAGAAAGAGTAAAGGATGGCTTCCAAATCTCCTAGCACCTGAGGGAGACTAATCGGGACCATTAGCGTTGAGACAGACCCCACCGAATGGTTCAAGGAACAATCGTTGCTTTTTACAGTACTTTAGGAAAGGGAAGCACAAGGTATTATCAGGCTGGACAGGAATAGAGATCTTTTGTCTGTTTGTCAAGAGCACAGTGTAGGACTTCTTCAGAGAAAATGAAGCTGTTTGCTCCAGTTTCTTGAAACATGTCAGTATACGTGTTTCTGTCAGGACCAAATTCAAAAATAGTTTTTGCGTCTATATGATATGCAGTTTTCGTGTGCATATGATACGCACGTTATGGCGTGTAATACGCACAAACTCCCCATCCCTTCCCCCCTAAAGCTACCCAAGGTGTTTTAAGTGCGTAGCATGTGCATGCAAAAAAAAAAAAAAAAACATTTTTAGCATATAAATGGCACGAGAAATGACATGGTATAGATACGCACTTTCATGAGACTGTGTTGAATAATCATCACAAATATGAGAGATAAGGGAAATTTTTGTCAATTTTGCCTTGGAATATACATTATACACTACTATTGACTAGTCAAAAGTGTATATTCAATTAAAATGAATAAAATTTAAATAAAATGAATTTAAAAATGCTAATTATTTAATGTTAATTCTTACACTCTAAAAAATGCTGGGTTGTTTTAACCCAATTTTGGGTCAAATATGGAGAAACCCAGCCATTGGGTTAAAAATGTAATTTAAAAATGTAACCCAATGGCTGGGCTTGTCCATATTTTACCCAAAATTGGGTTAAAACAACCCAGCATTTTTTTAGAGTGTATAATTTGAAGAAATTATTAAATGATTTTTTTTATATATTTACATGTTTTAGAATAAAAGAATAAACCATTTTTAATATTTATGAACTAGTGTTTAGTTTAAGAAAAAAAAAAAAAGAAGTTTCCTCAGATTTCTTCTAATGTTGGGTTGTTTTAACCCAACTTTGGGTCAAATATGGACAAACCCAAATGTTAAAAAATTTAATTAAAAAATTTAACCCAGTGGCTGTGTTCGTCCATATTTGACCCAAAGTTGGGTTAAAACAACCCAGCAATTTTTAGAGTGTAAACTCTATCAGCACAAAAGCACAGAACTAAAGGGACCAGCTTTCCACACACACACACCTCCGCTGTGGGAAAAGGTGTCAGGTTATTGACCCCTGAGGTAATCACAGTGTGAGCACTTGTGACTAAAGTATCGGGACCCTTCATTATCACCCTCAGTTCACAGATACGCACAGGTACAATAACACCTGAAGCCTCAGGGCTTTACAGCACCACAGGAACGCAAGTCTATTATTTCTGTAGTACGAGGTGCCTCAGCATGAGCTAGTCATGTCATCCCACTGAAACATTCAACCAATATTTCTGCAGCCATATTAGTGGACCAGCCCTCAAGGGAAGATCCGATGTCAATACAGCAAACCGGATAAAACACAATAGCATGATGGAAACAAGTTCACAGGCTCACTCAGACTCCACATCCAGTCTTGACATCTGAAATGCCTTTTATTTCCACATAAAGGATGGGGTGAAGGGTTCTGAGACAGTTGTGTAGACCTGCCTCCTCCAGAAGCCCCGCTCTGAAAAGATAAGTTGTCCAAGTTGTCAGAGTTCGCCTGGAGGGAGACAAAGTCAGTCTGCTTTCATTTACAGACATCTTCCATTTGACCTCTGCCAAGTTGTCTTTGAAAACAGTTTTATTGCAGGTCAGTGCGAGAGAGGAGGAAGGGGGAATGGTTCGACGGTGCTGAAAAGGACAGATTCCCCCTTCATTCTCTGTTTCTGTCCATTCAACATTTCTAGCCCGAGCCCAATCTCACCGGCATGGCTGCATTGTGACCGTAATGTGAATTTTTGCGGCGAACGCAGATGAAATAGGAGGCTAGATGAAATTTGTGGCCCACGGAAAGCGAGCGACTGAAGTGCAGCAATGCGAAACCTGGATTTAGCTTTTTCAATCGTTTTTTTTTTTTGACAATAGTCGAATCATCTTTTCATTAGTCGCCTCAAGTCGAGGGTTTTCAAATATCTTCATGACGTGAGAGACAAAGATGTAGGGCTTTGTATACTGACCGCTGCCGAACACTTCATGTTGATGTCTCACTTTTTCTGACCATCCTGTAGTTTCTGCTGACCTAAAAAGAATTTATTCTGTTCAGAAAGTTTGCTGAACAATGAGTTAATCAGCTCAAATTGACAGTTGAGTTTGCAGCCATCTGATGTGTTGAACCATATAACCCACTGTTGGGTCATATATGGAAAAACCCAGCCAATGGGTTACATTTTTAAATTGCATTTTTAATCCAACGTTTGGGTTTGTCCATATTTGACCCAAAACTGATTTAAATTAACAGCATTTTTTAGAGTGTATATATATATATATATGCATGCTGTATATCAGAATGAAGAGTAAATTGACTATGCTGTGGCATCATTTTGCACAATTAAAATTATTAAAATGACATGTTTCTTGAGCACCAGATCAGCATAGAATGATTTCTGAAGGATCATGTGACACTGAAGATTGAGTGATGATGATGAACAGCCATTTAAAATAATAATTATATTCCTCAAAATGACTGTATTACTGTATTTGTGATCTTCTTCAAAAAAAGTCTTCTTTCAAAAACATTGTACTGTAAATGTAGTTATATGACAAAACTCATCTCAAAAACAAACAAAAATCAACCAATATTTGCATAATTTGTATTGAATGCTCTGCTTTGTCTGTCATCATGTGCATTTAAATGATCTCCTAACTTCTAACTTCATCATGTTGTAAGAGAGATACATACCAGAATATCTGTCCTGATTTCCCAGCATTCCATATAGGGACAACACTCTCTATATCAAGCATTGTGAATGCTTTAATGGCACCATACTCATATCACCTTAATTGAAGGAGACAAACATGATCATTTCCCAAAGATGAATGTTGTTAGGCTATATCACTGCATGTCTTGCATCAAAGAGAGTAGGACCTCATTCCTGTCTCTCTACGAGCTGCTCTGAGAAAGAAGAAGAGTTGCATGCTTATTCTGTAAATCGGGTAGTTTTTCAACCTTTAAGCATTGGTATGCCTTTTATCCAAAACCCTGAGTCATGTATTAACACGCAAAAGCATTTACTCCCCAATACAAGAATGTTTCTGCTTACGGGCTGAGCTGAAGGGACTTGAATACTGTATGTGTGTGTGTATGCGCTGTGCAAACGGTCATAGATAAATCAAGCCTGAGGCTCTGTAACTTTAATTGCATCTTATTGCTTATTATGAGTTTCAAAGCGAAGACCTGTTTGAAAGAAGCAGCAAAACTGGTAATGATGATTCCAGTGTCACAAACTCAAGCTACAAAGCTTTTGAAGTTACTATTAACTACACTAGTTACTAAGGTTTTCTCTGCTGCTGTTCCTCAAGGGATAACACTGAAGTTAAAACATATTTTCTGACCTTTAATATGTAAACAAATAACATATTTTGGCCATAAGAAATTTCTACTGCTCTCGCTCACAGGCCTTAATATGTGTGTCTTTTTAAGGTCATGTGTCATAGCTAAATCGATAGATGGATAAATATTACATAGATGGATAAATAATAGAGGCTGTTGGCTAGTTATCACACTCTACTGGTGCCTGTTTCTCTATCACAATCATTTTCAATTATTAAAAGTCACAATTAAAAATAAAAGTCAATTTTACAATCATTTTCAAGTCAATTTCTGTTAGTAAACACATTACAACTTAATATTGCTGCTAAACTTAATATTGCAGTAAAGGGGTAAGTTCACTTTTTTGTTTTTAAATAAATGGCCTATTAAAAGCTTTTCACAAAACTTTAACACAAAATGATTAATGAAAGCAACATCTTACATACAAAAATCTAAAATCCCTGTTTTGGCCAGAAAATATTGTGATAAAAAATGTAGCCTACAGTATTAATATAGGGCCTATTATTAAAAATACTTAGTCTTTCAGAACATAATTCAACCTTTAGTTGACTTTTGTTTAAATGTATGCTATAGTTTTATTGTGTTATTCAACAGCAAACAGTAGGCTAGGCTATATCAAAGTTTGGAGAAATATTATTAAAAAAAATTGTCATTTAAAAGTATTATTATGAACTACATGTTGCCTACACCATAGCCTACTAACTGCAATGTAAAAAAAAAAAAAATGCACAAATATAGCCTTCCACACAGTAATTGCGCTTAATTTCTAAGTTACTGAGTTTACTCCACCTAATGAAACATGAATGTTATCGCTTTGACAGTACAGGGAGTTGAAGATAATCACAGCGACTCGCACTGAAGGGGCGTAGCTCTAAGGTAAACCCCGCCCCGTGGGTGTGTCGAATGCAAATGAGCGATACTGCATCCACCTGCCAAGCTGTTTGGGCAGCATTTGAGGCGAGCGAATGAGTGCGGGTAGGAGTGCGCTTGTGTTTGGAGATATTCTGACTGACAGCCACAGCGCTGAAGCTGTTCTCGGAGCTGTCAGGTGGTTTTTACGCTTCTTTAACGATTCTAAGCGCGATATCAAACGGGATTTTATAACAACTGTGCCAAATGAACACTATAATAGAGAAGAAGCACACCGCGCTCAGGTGTTCAGAGAGATAAGGACTGTTACCTCATTATACCTGCAGGACCTGGGACATAAACACACGAACGTACAGAAGAACTCAGGCATTTACTGGATTCACTCTTTGAGTTAAGCTCAAAGTTGCTTTTGGACAGTTTGGAGAAAGCAGGTAAACATTAGTTTCTTTTGTTTTCATTTTCTCAGCACTATCATCGTACTATTTTAGTCACATTTTAACGTTTGGATTTAATTTCTAAATGCATCTTTTAATCTCAGTTGACTTTGCAATGAATTAAATGAATGCAGACTCCTATATAAAATGGTATCTTATAATAATTATTTTCCAATATCAGTCAGTGTTGGCAGAAATATTTCCTCTTATTTTGTTTATTTAAATTATGTATCCTATGTATCCACCAACGTATCCATTGGTGATTAAAAAGTACAAATATTCCACATATGGTCCTAAACACATATAGAAGTAGTTTCAGATGAATTGCAAAATGTCATGCCAAAGCACTGCAGAAACTGCTTGAAATTTCATGTCAATGCTGGTTAGATTAAGAATAACACACGCTCTGCCTCTGAAGTTGTACTCACACACATTCATATGGCAGCATGAACACTAAATAACCTTAAATCTTCTTATTGTCACTTATTACTTTTCACTGTGAGATGGAATTGCTTTGCTTTGCATCTCCTTTCCTGCTGTTTCCCAGTGTTTTTCTAAAATAAGTTAACCATACACTGAGAGCTCCTGTATATATAACAGCACAATAGGCATTTAAGACCGAGTCAAAGTAGTTTATTTTCCTTTCTCTGCTGGGTGGCAGGAAAAAGAAACAAAACACAATATCTCCAGGAGCCAGAGTGCATGTACAAAACAAACACTAACAATTTCACAAACTAGCATTAAACAAACTCCGTAAATATAGATATTCTAGTGCCAAATGGGGTAATATGCAGAAAGCAAGAGTTGCATAAAAATAAGCGAGACCAGTCATTTTGCTGATCAGTCATAAGTCCTTACAAATGTTGACAACTTTCAATGTGTACCAGGAAGGCTGAATTTACAAGCCAAATCTGACTTTGTTGAGTTATAACTAGCAGAAGAGACCATTCTATTCATATTTTTATTTAATCTAGATGTTAATTTTTAAATTTATCATCAGAATTGATGAAATCAGTTCATAATGTGGTAGTTAATAAATAAATAAGGCTTATCCTTTTTTTTTTTTAAATATATAATTTAAAGAAATTGATAAGAGTCGTCTTTAAGTGGCATTTTAAGATTAGAACAAATTGATTGGGGGAAAAAAAAGTAAACCTGATTGTTTCTTGCTATCCCACATTTTTTCACATAATATTTTGCCTGTTCTTAAAAAAGCCATATATTTTGGGGTTTACTTATTGATTCATTCTTTCACTGTATTTGTGAGATTGTATCCATAATTGCTTGCCTCCAACTGTGTCTGTGTGCACTTGTGTTCATATAATTGTTGTTTAATTTCACTGGCTTGTGTGAGGTAAAGAGGCAGAGAATTTAGATAAACAGCCGGACAGTTAACAAATTGCCTGCAAATAGCTGAGGTTTAAACAGCTGCTTCCACTCATAAACGCTCTGCGGCCGGGCAGCGCTTTTTGGACAGATCGTCTTCCGCCAGAACTACTTTCTCTGTTCTGAGATGTTTGCTCCTTCTTAAAAAAAAAAGAAAAAAATATGACGCATATACAGTTGTAATTTGATGTCAGTACTATGTGGGTTTGGGAACGGTCTCTTTGAGTCAAATATCCGAACAGATTCAAGTTTTTAAGGTTATGTCACGTCACCACCAAGCAACATGAGTGCAGTCCCTCTATGGGTGGCAGCCTTGTTCCTGCCCATGTGAAAGAGATGGACTGTGTGGCGGGCGGCAGTGGGGTTTGTCAACATTCTCCCTTGGGGAATATCCCTTTGCTGTATGTTTCAAACAAATGTAACCAAACCCTTATTTTTTGGTGAAATGTTTATTGTGGAGGGCCTGATAAAGCAGGGAGCCCAGTGGTAGAACTGGAACTTTAAAAGTATCTGGAATACATATGGTACATGCAAACAAGATTTCAGATTGAACTTTGGCTTTTTCTTAGACGTTTAGACTAGAGAATGCATAGGGAAAATTCATTGCATATTTTCCTTCATCTTTTGTTCTTCATTTGATAAATTATGGCTGATGTGATCATCAATATAAAATATACACAAATATTTCTTTAAAAAAGTTTCTTTGTGCATCTATAACTAAAAGATATCTGTGAGTTTTGTGAATAAGGCCAAATTATACACTCTAAAATTTGCTGGGTTTGCTTAGCCATTGGGTTAAATTTTTAATTACATTTTAACCCAAAATGTGGGTTTGTCCATATTTAACCCAAAGTTGGGTTAAAACAACCCAGCATTTTTAGAGTGTAATTAACCTAATTTACAATTACATCGAAAGGAGGTGTGTTTGTGCTTTGGAGAATGGCAGTGACTTAATTTGAATACAGAATAGCAGTGTTTTTTTTTTTTGTTTTTTGTTTGAGTGTTTAGGGAATAAATCACATTTGCAAAAGTGTGGCAAATGTCGAATTCACCCTACAGTCTGTAACCCAAAGAAATTAACTTAGTATTATTCTGTTTGAGCCATGCTTTACCTTTGGAAAGCAGTAAAGTCATATAATTTTCAATCATGTGTTTTCTTTCGCCAGTGGCCTCTGCAATTGTGTCTTTCTGACTTCAACGGATGCACCATGCTGTTGGGCAGTCCTTGGTCAGTCCAGGTTCTCCTGGCTCTGTCTGTCCTGACGTTGGGTTTGGACAGCGAACCTCAGAGCGCCCCCCGTGTCTTCTTGTCCTTCAAAGGTAAGTTTGCTGTTTGGCTTTCTCTTGATTTGCTTCTGGTTTTCTTTTAGGGACTGCAACTCCAGTTGTGTGGCCTGTGGTTTGGAGGAACCACCGTGTGAACGTTCTGGAGTATGCTTTTTTTTCACATGCTACCCTCTGGTTTTCATGACTGAATTTGATGAGTTGATAAATGTTTTTAGGTTCGGCGGGAAATTCACAGCGTAGACGGATTCTCCGGTCTAACCGCACGCCGAATGAGTTCCTAATGGCTTTCCCATCAAACATCTTTTTCTCCCAGCCAGCTGCGTCCACTTTTATTCGGTGTCAGAGTAATTAAAGACACAAACAAGAGTTGAAGAAACAATCATTCCGAAACTTCAACACAGGTCAGAGAAATTTACAGAAAGCCGAACATGCCGTCTCGGTAGTATGTTTTTAAGCACATTTCTGAAATAATCAATGGCAGATGAAAAAGAGATGTGAGAAGTTAGTGATGAAATGATGGCAGATGAGCCTATTGTAGCTCAGGGCCTGAACTCTCTCACAGATTCACGCTTATTCCTACAAATAAAGTTGCTTAAAAGGTTTCTACAGCCTGATGCCCTCAGTGAAGATAACCTACAATGTACAATAAAACAATGTAAGCTCTTTAAAATAGAGCTTCTTTATTGGCATCTGTGGTACCATGAAGAACCTTTAACATACAGAACAAAGGTTCTTTTGATTGTATAAAATCTTTTTCTTCACACTTCCCTGAAAGGTTCTTTAAGGAACATTTAAGAACTTTTTAACCCAAAAATCCATATAGCGAACTCTGTAACCTTGTCCAATGAAAATTATTTCTTGCTGAACCTAATGTCAAGTCACCTTCATTTATAAAGTGCTTTTAACAATATAGATTGTTTCAAAGCAGAAAATTAAAGTAACAGAGACTGTTTTGGCTTTACAGCAACTCTGGAATAAAGTTATTGTCCAGCTTAAGTCAGTTCAATTGGCCAGGCTGTGTCTGGGGTTTTAAAAGCATCTTGTAGAGTTAAATTGTCTAGATCAGCCATGCACATCAATATGCCCCAGGTCTGCACTGCTGGAGATCAGTGCTGCGATTAGCCGTTTGAGAGGGACTACGCAATTCCCCTGTTTGCCAAACTCTCTGTTTCCCAGACCAGAATGTGCTGGTAGACTTAATTATGAAAGCCGCCCGGCACAGTTCGTTATTCAAGGCTTTCCCCCCGCTTTAATCAAGATGGATTTAACACTCCACTGAGCATGTTTGTAGATCCAGTCATTTTTGAAAGATTTCACATATAGGTCCCTCAGGAATCGTTTTACATCATGAAGCTGTGCTATGCTAGAACCCTGCACCCTTACATGCCAGTCTTTTAGCTCCATGATGTGTAAAACCAACAGGATCTAATGTGGTTACGGTTGAAAGGGACAAGAATTTGTCATTTTGCGAGTTCTCTTGAGAAAAAGCTGATTCGTTGCTTACCTGGCTGCATTATTTGGATCCTGCAGTCGAGCCTAACTCGCATTTAGCGCTTTTAATTGGTTTTGGAGAGCAACTGCAAACCTCATCATCAGACAGCACCTGCAGTCCACCCCAAACTGCAGGCCTACTGTTTTCACCACATAACACCTCACAGCAAGCACAGGAATGTGCTAATTATCGTCTAACCCATGCCCATTTTTAGATTTCGAAACCTCCCTTCTCACTCGAGTTCAGTTTGTGTGCATTATATGATCATTGAAGCGTTTCTCTAAAACTTTCCTTGAGTAGTTTCTTAAAGCTTTGAAGATCCAAAACCCAACCCGTCAGTGTTTAAGTTAGCTGTGTCAATACGTCGACCGCTCTTAGATGCGTTATCAGGTTTTCCACTTTACAGTGCTATTATTATCAGGAACTCCGTGACCATGCCAAGCTGAGCACGTTTAAGCTTCATGAATTTCGTTTTTTGTTTCTCTGTAAGTAGAATGTCAGACTGTCTATGATGATGCCTTAAATCAAATTGCTCTGTCGACCCACTTTAGGGGTCAAGAGTTGCGACCCCCTCACACGAGAGCTGCTCACTTTTCTAGTAAAGCGGTTCCACCCCACTCGGAGAGTAAATCAAAAACATCTTAATTGTTCTTTGAGCTTTGCAACTTCCTTCCCCCTTGCGTTGAACTTCATCAAGGTTGTTTCCCTCGGGAAAATCTCCCGTGATACCAACGGTGAGGGTTTTTAAACCAGTGGCAGATGTGGTACCTTTTCCATATCAGATTTAGGAGCAACCCAATCCTGTTTGGTCTGTGTAGAAATGGATTGTCATGGTAAGTGAGATGACACTGATTCAGTGATGATTAATCAAACCATTGGCTGGATCCAGATGCCTGTTTTCGAGTACATTTTTGAGCCATCAGCTCATTTGATGTAAACTGACGCTGTTTGAATGTGTGATTTAATTCCGTGTCTTGTCCCCAATGTTGAAAGGTGACCCAGCATGCACAATTGATTTAGAGCCGTAGGAGTCTGTGTCGCCAGCCTCCCTCCAGGGGGTTCTGACCCCTTCAACTATACGGACGCACACACATCCCACTGGGTGCTTTGGCTAGTGTTGGTTTAACTTGCTAATCTGATGTCAGTATTGCTGCTTTTCTAAAAGTGTCTGGGACTGATTAGAGTGAGTAAACGTGGCTCTGGATAAGTGTAAAGAGTGATGTCCTAAAATGTTGTGGTTCTCGTGCTTGGAGAATTCAACCGTTCAAAGTTCAAAGTTGACTTCAAAGCTTTTAATGACATGTATGTTTCAGTTTGACTGGTATTGTACAGGTGACATTGGGACAAAATCATAGTAGGCTTTCTGCTGATATTTTTTTCTGCATAGCCAGTTTAAGAAGAATAATTTGACCCAGGTTGCAAGTGTAGATTGGGTCAGTTCACAGTACTGTGATCATTTCTGGATTCCTTTTTATTGAATTTTAAAGGGTAGCAGATAGAATACAGTAGGTGGACAACCAGAATGCCTATTACGACAACTGCCGCGGCAAATCCACCTCCGGCAAAAATAAACCGGTCGCTTTTCAAAGTCGTTTGCGAAATGACCACCAGGTGGCGCAAAGGTACATTTAGCGAAAGCAAAACATAAGTATGTATAAGTAGCCTACATTTTAAAGGGATACTCCACTTTTTTTTTGGAAATAGGCTCCCAGAGAAAACTCCCCCAGAGTTTTACCGTTTTCAAATCCATTCAGCCGATTTTCTGATATTTAGAAGAATATCAGTAACCAGAAATATCAAAAAATCGGCTGAATACATTCGAAAACGGTAAAACCCAACTGTTTAAATCTGGGGGAGTGGTAAAATGAGCCTATTTCCCATAAAAAGTGGAGTATCCCTTTAAATAGAATATAGCAAACTTTTATAGTAGAACATTTTACGAATCAAAAGTTAAAATAGGTCAATCTCGTCAGTGAAAATAAATTGGGTACAATCAATGACTCTAAACAATTGAGGAATGTGAAGATTGAAGAGCGCTTCTCTCATGCATGCGTATACAGATCTCAGTTTTGCCAGGTTTGTTATATTTTAAAGCAAGGGTAAAGCCAATGAGAAAAAATCCACCAATTTTTCAGCCAATCAGAAAATCTTTTGGTGGCTCTCCTCCAGTGTTGTGTGTGGGGGCGGAGTTACCTATTTATAAATAAGGGGTGGTAATTTGGTCATTGTTTTTGCATTCCAGATTATTTCAATGAATATACATTTTACACTGATCTCAGAGCGGTTTACCAATATTCTAGTTGATATTGTGACAAAAGCAGTAACACTGTTTTCAGATCAGCAAAAGGGGCTTAGAAATCCCCCATGCAAAAATTTCAGTAATATTCTTTAAATTTGAAAGTTAAGCAGCATCGATCATTGTCTCACATGTCTTTGAGTGGCGCAGTGAGTTTACTAATTCATAATTTACACATACTTCCTACATTTAAAAATACAAGTGGACACATGTAGAAGTTAGTTATTTTATTTTTTTGTCCTTCAAGTAACATCTCAGCTTTTAAGTGACCTGCATTTTTATCAGAATTGAACATTGGGAACTGGACAAAACCAGGGAGCCCCATAACAGTCTCAGCTTTTTTTTTTTACTCATGTGGTTAACTATTTTGCCAAACATGTGGCATTCATAGTTGCCCACAAAATGTCATTTTTAATTTCGTAAAATAACTACTTTGAGGTGTCGGTTTTGGCCAAAGTGGTGGTGTACATTACATGTCTCATTGACTATTACACCCAATACAACAATAACAAATATAGCCATAATTCACCATAATTAGTGTGCTAAGATTAAGTGTCCGCCAGCAGAGGAAACAGCGCTTATATGATGAAAACAGAACTGCTTATGGACAGGTCTAGTGGGAATAGTTATTTTTACCAGCAGATATCTAAAAAATATAATAAAAAATAGGTGTTTTTCCAGCTAATGCACATCATTATTATTATTATTATTATCAGAAACTCTTTTAATTAAACGATGGGACTTCATTTCTGTAGCTGCACTTCTGAGCCTTCTTCTTTATTTTAGCGCTCCGTGATCTTCCTCTAATGTGTCTGATGTCATCCGATCTCTATAAACAGTTCTGTGCTGTCATGTAAAATCAGGTCATTTGAAATGAAGTCAGTCGAGAGTGATTTGTTCTCCAGGCCATAAGTATCCGCTTTTATAGGAGGAACACTGGACGCATTGTATTTGAGAGGGGTAATGATCATTCAAACCTGGCATTGCGACCACATGAGGATCTCAAGAGGAGATCTGATAAGGATGAATAGACAGATGAATGAAAAAGGGAAAAGATCCATTTGGAAGAGTCCGTCTTTCTTATTTTCTAGCTCTTTTTCTCTTTCTTTCCATCTAAGCCATTTCCTCAGAGGCTGTTCGGATTTCAGGAAAACACTGTCTTGCGACACTGGAGGCTCCAATTCACTTTGAGGGCCTTTGGCATTCGAGACTGTGAGACCGTTAACCCTGTGAGGGTGTTCCTGC